CTGCATTCTTGGTGCTTGCGGGGCAAGAGTGGGAGGGCTCCTGGAGTTTTGGCCCTGCTGGTGGACCTCCTGAGGGCACCTGGGTTTTGTCCAGTGTTTCCTCTAAGTGCAAGGTAGCTAACAGTTTTTTAGCCTCCGGCTCATACATTTTCGTCTTAATTCAGGAAAGATGCCTCCAGAGCAAACTAATGTATGCAGTAGCCAAATTGCTCACTCATAGCTTTAATGCCAGTCGCTCACAAAGGAGCATCCCGGGATGTGATATCAGAGTCATGTGACAGGAAGAGGGGGAGCTGGATCATAACCAACAGACCGAAAGGGTCCAAGGACAAGAAACAAAAAACAGTCATCAAGAGGTTCCGGTGATGTCAGGGGGTGTGGCCTTATGACACACTTCCGGTGATGTCAGGGGGTGTGGCATATGCTAATGAGTTATGCTAATGAGCTCCGGCAGCTCTTTTTCTACAAAAAGACCCCTGTCCACAATAAAGCCTTGCATAACAGAACCTTATAAATCTTTTAACCTGGAAGTTCCCTCAGGTATTGCGGCTCATTCAGTCAGAAGTGCAGCCACTAACACAGCTCTAGCCAAGTACACTTCGGTCAAAGAAATTTGCCGAGCTGCCACCTGGTCCTACGTGTCTACCTTCATCAGAAACCCCCTGAAACAATACTGACCTTGATAGGCTAAAAAAGACAGAGAAAGACAAATAAAGAGAGAGACACGAAGAGAGATACACAAAGAGGGACACAGAGGGAAACATACACACAGTGGGACACACACACACGGACAGAGGGGGGCAGAGAGAAGAGGGGCAGAGAGATACAGAGAGAGAGAGGCAGAGAAAGACACAGCGCTCCATGGCAACCCCTCGCCTCTTGCCACGCCCAGCCACTCACCATGGGTCTCCTTGCCCATCGGCCCCACCTTGCGGTGCAGGCGGCCAGCCCTGTGGCAGCGATGGCTAGGCATCTTGCCCACGTGGTGCTCCCGCTGCCAGGGGAGCTGCAAGTAGCTCAGCGAAGCGGCATCATGAGTCCCTGGAACAGCCCGCAGTGCGGCTCTGAGCCCAGCCAGAGAGAACATGTCCGTTGCTGGGCTTGGGGCATCACCACCTTGCTCCATGGCAGTCAGTCCTGGCTCCATGCAAAACCTCCGGGAGTCCCCAAATCACCAGGCCCAGGATGAACAGGAGGGTGCCCGAGAGCTGGTAAAGGGGAGCGGTGGCACAGGGGATTTATCCTCTGGTTAAACATCTGAGCTGAACAGGACTGCTGTCAGTTCGAGCCCCGCACTTGGTGTGAGCTACCAAGTCTTGTCCCCAGCTCGCCGTCCACCCAGCGGTTCGAAAGCTTCGGCGAGTAGATAAAATGGGTACCGCTCCTTAGAGAGGGCGGGCACACTAAATCCCCCTCATGGGTGAGGTGTAAGCCGATAACGGAAGGTCCGTGCGGAACATCATAAGCCGAGAAAAGATCTACACAGCCGCAATGGGACATTCCGGCCAGACGGTGGCAGTGGTGTGCTGCAACCAAGAAAAAATGCTGACAACATCAAAAGCGACGCCGAGAGAGAAGAGAGAAAGAGAGAGAGAGGCTGCCAGGACCATGCCTGATGTTCACCGCAGATCACCGCAGATCACAAATTCCTGTCGGTTGTGGAATGTGTGTAATTTAAATGATATATGTTGTCCTCCCTTACCCCCCTCATTGTTAGTCCCGCGTCAAGAGTAACTGTAAATCGCTCAGAGCCGGCAGCTGCAAGGATTGAGAGATCAATAAATTGAAAGATTATTATTATTATTATTATTTATTTGTATAGAAAAAGGCTTTTCTAAAATCCTCCCTGCTTGGGCCAGATGGCCCTAGCTGGTAACACTACCGCGTGATTCCTGTCACCTGTGCAAATGGCTTGCCAGATGGTCAGGCCGCATCTCCATATACAAGACACTTTGACACCTCTGCCAAGAGAGAGCGACTTGCCGGCGCCTTCCCAAGCATGGGACGAGCTATGCCCAGAACATTAGCAGATCAAAAGCATTCCCTGACATGACATCCCAATGGAAGAGGCTGGAGTGGGATGGCCAACTCCGAGCCAATCAAAACATACCTTGCCTGACAACGCATGGTAACCAGAGATTGGAATGCCTTCCCACTCTCTCACTATTGGGTAAATGGCCATACCTGGTGGTGACGGGGGGGGGGATATATCAGCAATGATCCATATGAGAAACAGGAAGTTAAGGAGAGTTAAGTAAGTTCTTCTCTGGGAAACAAAGAGTTCTTTTGGACTGACTGTTTGCTGTTAACATGGAGTGAGACTTTTAGGCAGCCAAGCTGGACTAGCTGTCCACAAAACCATGGGGTTCCTCTTCAGGATTCCCTGGTGAGACCTTGGACTATTTGCACACCAGCCTGGTAGCTATGAACTACCTCTATTGTATAGTTAGAGCTGAATAAGCTATCGATATCTTTTGTTTCTTATCTTTTGCTAGTCTCATGTTATTTAATTTTATTCATTTAACTTTCAATTTCTAGACCGCTCAACCCCCGAAGGGCTCTGAGCGGTTTACACAGTACAATTTTAATTACACTACCTCACTAGGGCCACACATCGAGGGGAAATGACTACCTATCAGGCACCCGCGGCTTGGTGGTTGTTTTCTGCAGAAGTTCTTAGTCCCCGGGTGACGACGTCTCGGCGCAGATCTTCTTCGACCGCAGCAGCTCCTTCCGGGGATGGTCCCTCAGTGCACGACAGTGCGCGCTACCGTAGCTGGCCTCTGTCCTGGTTGGCTCCGGCCTACCACGTTGCCTTGGCACCACACCCTGCCGGTCCAATCTCTGTCCGGGCCGCTCAATTCGCCGCCGTTGCCGCTGCCATGTTTTGTCAGTTACTGTCACCACCATTCCGCCGCTCAGCCACCGCCGCTCCACCGCTCACCGAAGGGAAGGAGGGTGCCCCCCCCCCGCTCTAGGAGCAGGTACCCAATTAATCTACTCGCCCGTACGGGCTTTCAAACCGCTGGGTGGGTGGTTATATGCATGCTTGTGCACTGAATAAAGATAATATATAATCAATATTATCTGGACCTGTTTCCTCTGTTGCAACCTGATTTCTAAGACTGAATCTTGTGTCTAAAGCCATTCGCCAAAGGAGGCTACCACTGAGGTACTTAATTGTTTGCAGCCCTGGTGCAGAGCTGGTAAAGTGCGTCAGTCCCATAAAGCAAGAAGGAGCTTGGGATCTCTGCTCATGAGCTTTGGTGCGGAACTGATTAAAGAGAGATCCTGGTGGCAGACTACCGGTAAAGCCTGGAGAGTGTACAGACATTCTCCTGGCATTTGTTTAATTGTTCCTGAACACTTGGTTTCTCTCCCATCCCTGGACTGGGATGAGAGAGAGAAACCTTGACAGGCGTAACCATAGGAACGATGGGAAAGGGAGGGCAAGAGCAGCCGCTGCCAGAACCACTCAGAAGCTACGCCGTGGCCGTCACGTGCAATCAGGAGGAGGCGGGCAAAGCATGTAGAAAAGGGATGTCAGCCCAAGAAGAGGCTGGTAGGTTGGAAAGCCAGAATGCCAGTTGGCTTTGCGGGAGCAGCTGCACCCTGCGCAATCTGCTCTGTCCAGAGCCCGGCCTTTCTCACTGTGCAGGGGAAGATGCGAGCCTCCACGTGCAGAGGCAGTCCACCTTTGAATGCTGGCGCTGGGAGGAGGCCGCTCTTTCCTGGGCTGCAGGTGGAAGCACCAGTCCACCAGAGCCGCTGCTGACTTTCCCGCCCACCTACCGGAGTCCCCGCCCTGGCCGCGCACAGCACAGGCACCGCTGACATCACCCAGCGTGAAGGAGGCGGAGGAGGAGGGAGGACGAGGTGCACACAGCAGAGGCGGCTGCTGCTTCCCGGGCCTATTCTTCTGCAGCTTGGGGAGAGGAGGGGGGACGGCAGTGATGCTGCACCAAACCGGCAGTGGAGCAAGCAGAGGAAGCTGGAAGACAGCAGAGAGGAGGCAACTGCTGCTGCAGCAGCAGCAGAGGGGAGAGCATGGGCCTTGTGTGGGGCCTGGGTTTTTTTCCTGCTGGGAGCTGGGGATGGGGCTTGCCGCCACCACCTGTGCTTCTAACTGCCAGAGCACCGCTCCTGCACGCTCCAGCTCAAAATGACCCCTGTATCCACAGAGAAATCAAATGCAAAATCTCGACATGGCAAGATTCAAGCCTTCTTATTTACAAACCAATGACTCACACTACAATTTCTGCTGCAGAGTGCTTTAAAAATCACCCAGTTCTATTCATTGATGCTCTGTGAGACACTTGAGAAAGTCGATGGGAGCATGAGAAGCTTGGGCCAGGAGCCTGAAGTGATAAAATGAAGAGGTATAATCACACCATCAAGATTAGGCTGCGAAAGACAAAAAAAGAGAGAAAAAACACAGGAGACTTGTTTAACCATCACAGGCAGAGTGTGCACACACAACTTTAGATTAGTTGTCACAGCTCAGGTACAGGACAGTTCAACTTCATTCTGGCTCAGGAAGCTGAGCATTTAGGAATGTTATGAGATTCTCTACCTCCCATGGCCATAACAGCTGTGTTCTCTTTTCCCATGTCTGTTAGAGCTGAAGTGATTTATGCTTTTAAAACCTGCACACATTTGATCACTAAGACATGACTTTCTGTGCTCATTTCACACAGGGCCACACATAGCCATCACAGAGTTCTTACATACCATTTCAGTCTCCTTAGGATACAGTCCTATGCACACTAATTTCAGAGTCCATCCCGCAGAACTCAGGGCAACACACTCCTGTGCTTAAGATTGCACTGGATATTACTTACTATCTGTGTGAGGCAATGTGTTAGAAAAAGCAAACTTTCAGAAATCTGGTTACTCACCACTCCGCCCAGTGGCCCTCTACTACAATAGCAGAGCGGCCCGAAGACCTGTGTCTTCTCTTTGAGTAGTCAACACCAGTGGGACACCAAGACCCCTCCCAACCCACCCCCTTTCCCTCTATAAGTGTAAGAATTTTCAAAACTTTAAAATAAACAGTACATTATATGCCTATAAAATCAAGTAGAAAACGTCAAACTGCTAGCAACCATCGCTTGTTCAGCTTTTCCCCACCCCAGATTAGTTCTCTTCCATCTCTGGACCAGGATCCCAGTTTGATTCTTGTTCTTGACTCGGTGAGTTGAGAAGATGAGGCTTTCTTTTGTTAGAGTAGTGCTCCAGTTCTTGGTTGAGGTTGTGATCTAACCAGAGAGCCCTTAAAGCCGTTTTGCCTGCCTCTATGTCCCAAATTTCGTATCTTCTGCCTTGATGAAAGAACCGAATCCTGGCAGGGGTGATCCATCTATAACTGATTTTTGCCATCAAAAGCTTAGATGTGATGGGTTTTAGTTCCCGCCTTAGTTAAATCGCCTCAGCCGGCATCTCAGGGAATACTAGAATCTGCTTGCCTTGAAAGTTAAAGCTGTCCCTTAACCTTGCCTCCTCCAAAATCTTTTTCTTAGTATGGAGGTCACCAAACGTAACAATAATATCTCTGGGATTTTTCCTAGCAGGGTTGTTAGGCGCCCCCTTCTGATATGCATTCGTAATAACCGGTGCTATACCTTCCTCTAAATTCAGCTCACTAGCCAACCAGGATGGTATGAAGCAGCCCAGGTCTGTTGTTGACTCTGCCTATTCCTCAAAGCCTCTTAGTTTCAGGTTGTATTTTTTTAACATCCGTCTCAAGAACCATCATTTTCTCCTTCATTTGTGAGTCAGTGAGTTGCAGGCTTTGTATGTCTTCCTGTAGCAAGCCCATCATCGCTAGAGCACTCTCCGCCACTTGAGAGGTCTTTGTCATCGAGCCCCTGATCTCATCTAATTGAGCTCTTACTGGGTCCAGCATCCTTGAAAGTGAGCCCATTAGCTTAATTTCTAACCTTGCCATGGCCATGGTGAAGCTTTCCATGGTCAGTAGAGTACCCGCAGCTGCTTGTGTGCTTAATTTTGCCACCGCCACGGTTATTTGAGCACTTGATTTCCTGGCTTCTGCCATGTTTGTTTCCATTGCCTCCTTTAACGTCCGCACCTCCTTCTTTTTGCTGGGATTACAGTATGCCGATACAGATTTAATCTTTTTTGGGGATGGAGGTGCCTTCCCCCCACCTTTAGGCATTGTCTGGTGAGTAGAAGCAGTGTTTAAGTCCGACCTTTTATGCTGAGAGGGAATTAAGGAATGAGAGCATAGCGATCAAGCGTCCACCATTCTCCCCGACCAACTGCCACCAGAACTGTCCATTTAAGAAGCAGTCATCTGTTAAGTCAGTTCCTGCCACCTTCCACGAAAGTGATGGCCTCTCTACTTGTGTTCCTGGATTGTTTTGTTCATATGGAGACTGTGTTGTTCTGAGCGCCTCAGGGTGATCTTGCTGGTACTTGGCCTGTGCAGCTCAGAGCACTGCAGGAGCACTATGTGCAAATGCCTTGCCGCATTCCTAAGTTGCCTCCTCCTTGTAGCGTTGGTGTAACTGGCTTGATGGGGAGTTGGTGTGAAGGAGTGGTGATGTGGTGGACATTTCTTCAGGTTCATGAGGGTTCATGAGGGAGGCATGCTTCGAAATGGCTCCTAGAAAAGTCCTTTACTATCTCCCCATAAACATTCATACCCTGGCCCTGCTCCTACACCTGACAGACACCGGCCTGTCTGGTGTTGGGGGGGTGGGGTTTGTATTTAAAGGCATCAGGGAGGCTGGGCCAGAAGCAGTGCTAAGGCAATTCTGCTGAGCAAACCTCCCCGGTGGCTGTAAACATCCCACCTCCTCTCCTACACCTGAAAGGCAGCTGCCTGTCCAGTGTAGGAGGGGGGAGGAAGCCACTGGAGGTGGGGTTGCACCTGACAGACAACCGCCTGTTAGGTGTAGGTGGGGGGAGTGTGTTGGAAGCCATCCCACCTCCTCTCCTACACCTGACAGGCAGCTGCCTGTCCAGTGTAGGAGGGGTGAGGAGTATTAGAAGTCACTGTGGAGGTGGGGCTGCACCTGACAGACAACCAACCGCCTGTTAGGTGTAGGAGATGGGGGGAGTGTGTTGGAAGCCATCAGAGAGGTTGGGCCAGCAGCTTTGCTTCACCTCACAGGTGGTTCTTGGCCACTCCAGATTTCCTCAACTGTCATTAGCTCTCTGCAGTCTCCTGTAACTGTTGGGGTTTTTTTACCTTAGGATACTGAGCTCTGCAGCTGACCAATCAGAGAGTGGGGGGGTGCAGAGAGGCAGCTGCCTGGCAGCCGCATAGGAATCAATGGGGGGGAGCACATTTCCCCCCTTTTGACCTACTTAGGGGTAAAATTTCAAAAATCCCTTCTTAGCGAGCACCTACACCACAGTAGGAGCACTCTCCCTGAATTTGGTGTCTCTATGTCCAGCAGTTTGGCCTGGGCATTGATTTTACGGTGAGGGGACTTTCTTTTATATATATAGATGGTGTGGAAATGAAGCCCTTAAAAATCTCCCTGTTTTGTCACTGTTGCTCAATTTCTACATAATGTTGGAATTTTTTAAAAAGGAAATGTAATTTAACTCACCAGGATCAGGGTGTGCTGGTTGTGATCTAGTTTGTCTGCATAAGCTGCTACCATCATTGCCCATCACCAAATGTCTTTCCAGTGAGTAATGAGGATGTGTAGGAGAGTCTGGACTTTGGCACCAAGAACTTTGAACTGGAAATAGTGGAGGGGGTGTCTTTTCTTCTCTGTAGAAATAAAAACAAAATTATCTTTTCTGGCCAGGGGTAATTTCGTAGAAAAAGAGGTGCAGGAGCTCTTTAGTATAACTCATTAGCATAATTTATTTGCAAATGCCACACCCCCTGACATCACCGGACGTGTGTCAGAAGGCAACACCCACCGCTCAGGCTCCACCCCCAAAAGCTCCAGTTATTTACCAGCTCGGAGCTGGTGAGCCTACTTGGAGAAAAACTACATTAAAAACACAAAGAAAATAGTCAAGATGTTAACTGGTTTCAATATAACAAACATTTATTATAAAATCAACAACTCTACAATTAATGCCGAGACAGGAGTAGCAGCAATCGTCTTCTCACTTCAAACTCATATCCTGCAAGTGAGTACAAGTCCCAGAGCACTGAGCCTATTCCCAGGGGCTGTCATTCCATTTTGCAACCTGTCATTCCACTCTGTGACGTGTCATTCTAGTCCCACAGCACAGATTCTATTGCTAGGGACTGTCTTTCCACTCTGGGGGCTGTCCTTCCAGTCCCAGAGTATCCTATCTAGGCCCAAATACCTTAATGGAAAAACCATTCCACATTTTCTTTGCAACTTTTTTTATGCTGCAATGTGTTTCAGCGGAGCCCATGCAAGTCAATTGGCATTCCTGGCTCCCATGATCTCCAGTGGGCCTTTAAGCCTCTTCCATTGTTTCCAATGGGCAATCCTGTCATTCCTTTTATACACCCCAGTTAGTTGTCCGTTTGAAACGGTATCACACCATTTTAAGTAACAGCAAACTGAAGAGCATGAACATGTACAGAGTGCATATTTCTTGCCAATGTTCTTTCTGGGCTGCACACAGGGCAAAAGGAAATTTTAAAGTGTCTCTGCTACTGGACTCTTACTTTTTCTACTGCTATTACAAACCACAACATTCAAAAACCAGTGGGGGGAACATTTTAACCTTCCAGGACATTCAGTTGCTGACCTAAGAGTAGCAGTTCTCTAACAAAGGAATTTCAAAGGGAGATTAGAGAGACTGCTGAATTGCAACTGATAATGAAGCTCAAGACAATGCAAACTCCTGGACTGAACTGAGACCTAGGTTGTTTCTCTCATTAACAATGCCTGCTATTGTCATTTGGCATCTGAAATCACTTCACTCTCCAAGATATAAGGACAGATAGATTAACATTCCAGCTGTATCTGAAGAAGTGAGCAGTGATTCATGAAACCTCATGCCCTGCCACAAATTTTGTTAGTCTTTAAGGTGCTGCTGGACTCTTGCTCCCTTTCACTAATAAGGAATGCAAGCTGTATTGTGAGGTTCACCACCCCCATCGGTTAGAAATGCAAAAGGGAATACTTATCTCTCTCTGGCAAAGTCTGTAGGCAAACAGCTGGGAAGAAAACATTGCTGGCACTGACGCTCAGCTCTCTCTGGCAAAGTCTGTAGACACACAGCTGGGAAGAAAACATTGCTGGCACTGACTCTCCCCTCTCTCTCTCTCTCTCTCTCTCTCTCTCTCTCTCTCTCATGCTCTCTTTAGCTCCCCCCCCCCTGAAGAAGTCTGCAAGCAACCAAAACCTTACCTGGAGGAAGAAGTTTCTAATCTTCCTAAAAGAGCTACTAGCTCCATTCCCCCCCCCCGCTGTTTCCCTCCCCCTCTATCCCCAGAGGAGAAGGGGAGGAGCCCTCAGCCAATGAAAGGAAGGCTTGCATTCTCTCCTCTCCCAAGCAGGAAATAGGAGATGCTGGAGAGAGGAAGCTGCGATGCCAGAGGAGGAGAGGAAGCTGCTCTCAGATTTAAGAAAAGTTTTGGCTGGCACTGGTTGCCCTGGGGGAGGAGCAAAGGGAAGGGAGTGTGTGTGTGTGTTTGCTTGCAAGGAAGGAGAAGAAATGTTGCTACTCCCAGAATGCCATTACTGCTCGTTTCTGATTGAAATGACCCCTTTTGGCTATTTTAAATAACCATTATTGTGCACAGACAGGGCTGTGAGTTTTAAAAATCAAAGCAAAACAGAATTCTATAAGAATTCTGCTATAGCTGAATAATGCAGCTTCTACAAACTGCAGATAAAACATATTTGCATGGTCTTTGCATGATTTATTCTGCAATGTTCACTGTTTTGCATGATTCATTCTATTTCACCTCCTTATGGAGACAGGCAAGGAACTTTAGTGGTCACTGAAATGCATTCCCACAAGCACACTGACAGCCCATTCCAGTCAACAGGAATCTTATTCAGAGATTCATCAGATTTTGGAGGTTTCAGCAGGTAATACACACTTTCAAGAATATCTTTGCAATCTAAGGGTTGGAAAGTTGTTTTTATATGAAAGCTGAGGATTTTCAGTGCAGCAGGAGTTTCAGCATCTTATAATTATTTTGTCTCTTTGGCTCTTCTTCCTTGCAAAGCGGAGAAAGTAATGCCCAATCTGTTTATTTGAACACAGGATCCTCCAAGATCTGCCTACAGGGATGGATGCCAGGAAGGGGAAGATGCAGCATTCTAATAAACATGCAAGAACCCTAGATCATTCATTACTCTCTCTGCACTAAAGCTCCACTTCCATCAAAGTCCTAAAAGCCATCTCTATATCTGTCCATTGACTAGACCTATAGATCTGTCATCCATGAATCGGTAATTCCCTTTTGGAAGACTTCTAAACTAGTAGCCTTTATCACAACTTGGGGGCCTGGGGGCCCATGAGTAGTGAGCGTGGGGATGGAAGACACAGACAACAAACTTGTGGAAAGGAAAATGGCCGCAACTACCAAAGGAGCATTGGCGCAGATTGGGGACAGATCCAGCATTGGGTGACCTGTCTGCTTCCTGATGTAACCCCACCCCCCGCAGCCTGCTTGCTGAGTGGGTAACTGTGAAGTAGCAAGCCCTTGGGGACCATGTGGGTGCCAGCTGCTGTGTGATTCCCTTGCTACCTGGTGAGAGAGCCAGCTGACAGCCTCTGGAAAGGAAAGGAGATTGTAAGCCACTCTGAAACTCCTTTGGGTCGTGAAGGGTGGGGTATATCCAATCTCTTCCTCCTCCTCCTCCTTCTCCATTGGGTATGCCACTTCATAGTTCCACCCCCCCAAGACCCCTTAAGGGACTCCCCAAACAGGGGAAGCAGGCATTCAGGCATAGCCTCCCCCCAAAATACATCCATCCCAATGCCCAAACTGCCACAAGATCAGGGTGACCACCCCTGCTCTCACCAGCATTCTGATACAACAGACAACGAAGCAGGCCATCACACGTACCATGGACCCAAGTGTCCATACCCCACTCTGAGAGGTGTCACAGGCATCCTTGACACTCTGAGAGGTGTCACAGGCATCCTTGACTCCCGCCGACTTCTTCTCAGATGCCACTGCACCTCAGTATATGCCTTAGTGTGTTGACTCCTTTTCTAGGTGGAGGTGCCGGGAAGGGGGGGATAACAGGAGTCACCTCAGTCTCGAGTGGTGAGGGGGTTACTTCACCTACCCTCTGCCAGCTCCCTGGGCTCAGCCACACTTGCCGGTCACTCTCTCTACGGTCCAGGGCTGGAGCCACAGGTAGTCCTCCTCCTAAGGCCTTCCTTTATATCCTTCCCCTTCCATGGGCTCCCCTCCCTCTGGCCTGCCCCTGCCCCCAGTATAATTGCTTCCAGCTGGCCCCACCCCTCTGTATGCTCTGCTGACAGGTCTCAGGCTGTGGAGGTCGATCCAGTGGGATGCCGCTGCCCAGGCCCACTGGCTGGTGCCCCAGCTTTCTCCTCCCCCTGCTGCCAACGCTGTCGCTGCGTCGGCCATGACTAGCTGAGGCGCACCCAGCACCTCCCCATACCTGCTCCCAGGGTCAAGGAAGCCTCCCTAGGCCCTGCTACAGGCCTGTGGCCATTGCTGTTGCCATTTGCCACTGCTCCGAGCCCCACCACAGGCCTGCTGCTGCCACCATCGCCCATCACCTCTCTGGGCCCTGCCGTGGGTCTGATGCTGCCACTGCTGGTCCCTTACCTCCTCACCCAGGTAAGTGGCTTGGGAGGGTTGGGGCCCATTGCTGGTTATCCCAGGGGTGCGGGAAGGCAGAAGGGCCCCCAGGGTGGTGAATCGTCCCTGCTAGGAGGGCCTTGCTGGGGCCAGTCCTGGCCGGGCCAGTACACGGGTGAACCCCATCAGCCCAGAAGAGAGCTGTTTGCCTAAAAGAAATATTTGGATGCCTAATCATGTCTGCCTGATGATTCAATGAGCCTCCCTACTACCTTGCAGACCATCCTCTGGCTAAGTCAACTCTGTCTGATGCAATGGTCCCATGCCACTTGTGATGTTCCAGCAGCTCTGACCACAGCAACATCATGTTCGGGAGCCTTAGTACAGGGATCTGAAAGTCTGTAGTCATGGGGTACAACAGCCCGTTGTTGTACCATGGGGTACAACAGTGGGAAGGTCATTCTCGCCAAGATGAATAATTATGGCATCAGGTGGGCCTCACTGGAAGACTTGGTGAGAGATAGTGGAATGGAAGCCCAATTTCAGCAGCCACAGTGGCAGGATTGATATGAAAAGAGTGGATGCTGTAGGCAGGAGGAGAAAAGCCCAGCACAAAGATGCACTTGTACATTATAGTGGCAAACTGGAGTCTTGAGAGGCAGGTGCCATCAACATGAATGAGGAAGGAGCCCAGGAAGGCAGGCCTTATGACAAGGCTGACCAACATACATGTGACAGCTGCTGAATGAGACCAGAGCCTACATGCATTGTAATAGGCTTCTGGGCACTGGGGGGAAGGGAAGCCCTCCTCCAACCTTCAATTGTGCAACAAATTATAAAAGTATTACATGCATTGTTGAACCCAAGAGCATTACTATGGAAATATATGGCAGCCAGATGAATGCCTAGTATGCTGGGTGCCTATTATGCTAAGAAGTATCCAGGCAAGTACAGGTTGATACATCACATGTCTTACTCAAAGGATTCTTCTCTAAATGATGCGATCCCCCTAGAGTTTTGTACTGTTAGATACTCCTCCTTACATAATAAGAACATAAGAGAAGCCCTCCCACTGTTGCCCCCCCAAGCACCAAGAATACAGAACATCACTTGTTGTGCACTAGATATATCTTCATTTTAACACTTCTACTCTTATGCGACTCCATCAAGTAAATCCAACTTCTCAGAGTATTAGTATATACATAACATCCTCTATGAATAATCTTTTCTCCACAATTATGACATAAAACATTAATAATAAGCTTTCCATTTCTCCTGAAATTCTTTAATCAGTCTTCTATTTACATAGCTTGGTAACTTTGTCATTGCTGCATTTTCAGTGAATTTATCTTTCCAGTCCAGATGGCATACATCCGAGAGTTCTGAAAGAACTCAAATGTGAACTTGTGGATCTCCTTACAAAAATATGTAATCTTTCCTTAAAATCAGCCTCCATTCCTGAGGACTGGAAGGTACCTAATGTCACTCCCATCTTTAAAAAGGGTTCCAGAGGAGATCCGGGAAATTACAGGCCAGTCAGTCTGACGTCGATACCAGGTAAATTGGTGGAAACCACTATTGGGGAAAGAATTAGTAGGCCCATAGATGAACAAAACCTATGGAGGCAGATTCAGCATGGGTTCTGTAAGGGAAGATCTTGTCTCACTAACCTGTTAATGTTCTTTGAAGGGGTGAACAAACATCTGGACAAGGGGGATCCAATAGATATTGTTTACCTTGACTTCCAGAAAGCTTTTGATAAAGTTCCTCATCAAAGTAAGCTCAAAAATCATGGGATAAAAGGACAAGTCCTTTTATGGATCAAAAACTGGCTAATTAATAGAAAACAGAGAGTGAGTATAAATGGGCAATTTTCTCAGTGGAGGGTGGTAAGCAGTGGGGTACCGCAGGGATCAGTACTTGGTCCAGTGCTTTTTAACTTGTTCAATTATGATTTGGAGTTGAGAGTAAGCAGTGAAGTGACTAAATTTGCGGATGATACGAAGTTGTTCAGGGTGGTGAAAACCAGTGAGGATTGTGAGGCACTCCAAAGGGATCTGTCAAAGATGGGCGAGTGGGCGTCAACATGGCAAATGGGGTTCAATGTGGCCAAGTGCAAGGTGATGCACATTGGAGCCAAAAATCCTAACTATAAATACACGTTGATGGGGTCTGAACTGGCAGAGACTGATCAAGAGAGAGATCTTGGAGTTGTAGTGGATAACTCACTGAAAATGTCGAGACAGTGTGTGACTGCAATAAAGAAGGCCAATGCTATGCTGGGGATTATTAGGAAGGGTATTGTAAACAGATCAGCCAATATCATAATGCCCCTATATAAATCAATGGTGCGACCTCATTTGGAATACTGTGTGCAGTTCTGGTCACCACACCTTAAAAAGGATATTATAGCTTTGGAAAAAGTGCAGAAAAGGGCAACTCGAATGATAAAAGGGTTGGAACACTTTCCCTATGAAGAAAGGTTAAGGCGCTTAGGGCTCTTTAGCTTGGAGAAACGACGACTGAGGGGTGACATGATTGAGGTTTATAAGATTATGCACGGGAAAGAGCAGGTAGAGAAAGAGGTACTTTTCTCCCTTTCTCACAATACAAGAACTCGTGGTCACTCCATGAAATTGCTGAGCGGTCGGGTTAGAACGGATAAAAGGA